AATTTCGTTACAGTGTAAGTTGTCCGATCTGAATTCAATGTTCATGATAAATATTGTTAAATCATTGATTTTTAATTGGTCGATCAATAATTGACAGTATCGCTTGAATTATTGGTAGGATCTGATCAATAATATTGATCAAAGTCTCAGGTGATTCTTTTGATTGCTATTTGTGTTTACTATTTTTTTTGTCCATGGGCCCGGATTTGAGCAATAAATCCTTTCGATTAACAGCTAAAAGTAAATCCGCATTCAAGAACTCCTTTCGATTTCTATATTTGTTTCCCCGTCGGTGATTCGCAGCATGTCATATTAATGAATGAGAACCGGAAAGCAGTTCTGCTGTTACATAAATTCGAAAGCTATAAATAGCTATAAATGTTACTTCGGATATAAATTTGTTATTTCCCTTTTTTAGTTGAACATGAAATTATAATTTGTTACATATGAAATACATATTTACACACAGCATATCAAGTATACTATTAGTGATTGATTTTGTCAATATAAAGAAGATTTCAGGCAAAAGATTTTAACAATTTTGCTTTTGATAATTATTTTTAATTTATATTCATGAAATTAAATGTTTAATAATAACATGTTGATATATTGGTTGTTTTGAAAAAATTAAAATTTAGTATATAGCGTTACATTTCATTCGCGTCATTGGAACAGCATACCACTTTGTTAAAAAGAAACAAGCTAGTGGTATGTCTGGTGATGTAATCGGGGGTCTGTACTCGACAGCGAAAGCTGTTACTTGTACCCCTACGAGCGGATGGACCTTCAATAAAGTGTTTCCGCTCTCTCAGCCAAGTTTGTTTTCACAAAAAATCTGTCCAAAGTGAAAGTAGGCCAAAATTCATATAACAAAAAGCTCACATTGTTATATGATGAGCAATTTGCAAGTACACTTCCAATTCTATGTTTTAAAGACTATTTTCAACAAAAATAAAAATGATAACAATAAGAAATTTACCTTGAATGGGCTACATTTCTGAAGACCAAAAACATTCTGTTGCAAAGTTTAATGCACATTTCATGAATGGCAAAATCCAGTTTAAAGTCTATTTTAGTGCAAAAAAATGCTATTTTTTTGCAGAAAATCAAAAAAAAACTTTAAATAACATAAATCTTAGGAAAGTAGTTCATCTGACCTTGAAAAAACATGGCCTCCATGACATGTGTAAAAAAGTAGTACCATGAAAATAAACATCATTTACCTATTTCTTGTGTACATGACAAACAGACACACTTCACTGTTACACATAAAAAGGTTATATTTTAAAGTTTGATTGTGTTTTCATTTTAATTGTAGTTCATAAGGCTATAAATGATGATTGTTTTCTTGCACTACCTTTTTAAAAAAAAATAATGGAGGCCATGTGCTTAGAAGGACATGAGATACTGATTTATTTGGAGTTAAGTTTTGAAAGATTTTTGTATTTGCTGCAAGAAAATAGCTTTTGTTGGCACTAAAACAGACTTTAAAAAGGATTTTGCCATTCATGAAATGTGCATAAAACTTTGCAACAGAATGTTTTTGGTTTTCAGAAATGTAGCACATTCAAGGTCAATATTCTTATTGCTATCATTTTTATTTTTGTTTATAATTGTCCTTAAAATATAAACCTGGAAGTGTACTTTCAAATGGTTCATCATTTTACAATAAGAGCTTTGTTGTTATATGAATTTGGCCTACTTTCACTTTGGACAGACTTTAGTGAAAACAAACATGGCTGACAAAGCGGAATCACCTTAAGCATAGGCTATAGATAGATATCATGACAACAACAGAAACTTTGATCTGCAGTTTGAACATGAAGTGTTATGTTTTTTATGAATGGTTTTAAAGCAATTCAACAAAAAATATACATTGATCTCCCTAAAAATTAATTAACAATAGTTTTTTTTTATATATTACCAATGTCAAATAGCTTTCATATCTTTGTCTCGCACGAATATGATATTAGTGAATTTCCTCATACCTACGTAAAATTCAGGTAACAGTCTTCTATTATATTGATAAATACTGTATCACCATGTAACGCGTGTATAACAAACAAAACAATCCTGAATTTGGTCTTTTTGGCTTGCAGCTACGGCTGCAAGCCATTTCATATGGAAAACTTGTTCCGGTTAGGTGGTTTCCTGCTTACATCTGTTGGTGCATGATTGAACAGGAAACCAGCTGCAATCGTGCCAATCGCAACCTTTCGGCCTTTTCCGTCACTCTTCGGATTAATGATAATAGCCGATGTAGTTCCGATTGCAATCGTGACAATTCGGGCGATTCCGTCATACTGCGGAATCAGACGAAGTAATATAACGGAAATCTAAGCTATTTTAGTTACTTCGGTAATCCCAGTTTGTTTATATAAATAGGATTTCTATTTTTACTTGATTACCGTAATAAATTATAAACGAAATTGTTCCGTTTCAATTGTTTTTCAAGACGCAAAAGTTAGTTTCTTTTATAATTGTTTTTTGTCTGTATTAGTTTTATACAATAGAGAATGGTAGTAGTATTCCGTCTTCAAAGGGTGGTCCTGCTTACCAAATCACACATGATCGAGTTATATTTAGATCTACTGAACTGGTGAGGTTATCTAAAAATAGCCCATGCATATCATTAACCTTGCCACATAGCGCATCGTCTATTTGTGATCGTGTAACATATATAGTTGATCAATACATGCTTATTAATTGGTACCACGTAACGAAGTATTTTAGTGCATTTACTTGTCTATAAAGCAAAGGAATGATTTCGCTGCGAAAAAGGGGAAATGAAATGTGCACACTTGTTTTCCTTCAGTATCACGTTAGTATTTTTACGATTGATCATTTACTTTATAGTTTTATACAATAGAGATAAGAGAACTAAATAAACCCTTTATGATATACAAATACCGTAATTAAAAAAATGTGATAATAAATTGAACCCCCCCCCCCCAAAAAAAAAAGCAATTTTAAAGGGTTGGGATGAAGGCACAACTGTGCAAGCCTTTCCTTTTAAAAGGAAACTTTATTGAAATTCATCCCATTTTTTTCATTCCAGAGTGTGTTTTACTTTCAGTATTGAAAGAAACCATTTTTTTTAATTTGACATGAAAAATATGCATGTAATATTACTACATTAAAATATTAGTCCCTTTTGTTACTATTTGTATATTTGTTACAATTATAACAGACTTTGATATTTCTATCATCTTCTGTTACTGACTACAGTTAAGTGACACAAACAGAACACAGTACAGTCATGTCACATACTGTATGTGTATTTAAATTCGCGGAAGCAAATTTTCGCGGAAAGGTCCATTTTGGGGGTATATACAAATATTCGCGCTATTTTGAATTCGCGGAGGTGACTACCGTAAATCATAAATTCGCGTACACCAATCAGGTTAAAAATAAGGGAAATTACTCTTACACGATTAGGTCATGGTTTTCGCAAGCAGCCTTCTTTCATTTTACATACTTTTACTGTAATCATTGTGGGACTTCACAGTTATTTTCAACACCTGGTGTCAAACAATACGCTATTGTACAGAACAAAGACATTCAATTTGTCTAGCGGACAGATTATGGCAAACAAAAGAATGTCCGTTAACGTGCGTGATTTTTCACAGTTTTAAACAGCACTGAATGAGACCATAATATTTTCACCAATTTTGTTAAACTGTTAACTGAGTAATTGTGTTTTGTTTTCCATGTTTTCATCGATTGGAATCGTTAATGTTTGTGTTATTTGGATTGTTTGTTTAGAAAAACAAAATATAATCTGATCAGATATCAAGACGTTTATGACTCAAACTATGAAATAAATAGCGTGATGCAATGTTATTGTTCAAACATGTATATACTTTTACATGAATCCGATTATCATATCGAAGTCAAACAATAATACACCAGCAAACTGATTTATATACAGAGCTGAATATTACATGTACAGTTTATACAACAGTAAAATCACTCTTTGAAAGCGCCACGGATACCAGGGCTTATGGCAGCCGTGAACACACTAATATACATTGTTCTATAGATGCGCGAAAATATGATTGTAAAGAAATTATTGGTGTAGAAATATTCGCGCTGAACATGAATTCTTGGATCGAATGTCACCGCGAAGATCGCGAAAATTTGAAGCCCGCGAATATTTCTACACATACAGTAACATTTACAAGTCTTGTTTGTATTCAATGGAATTACTTTCCTTACCAGGTAGGCATCAGTGAAAGCATTTTATATATTAAAAAAAATTCCCCTCTTTTTAATTATGGACATTGCATAAGATAAGTATAATTACGCAAAAAATGGTTGGAAAAAATCTACAATAGTATTTAATCTGAATATAACATGACCTGTGCGTAGGAATAATTTGGTAAGGTATCTGTAATGAGCACATTTTTTTTGCGCGGAGCTTCTCAATTGCTGCATTGCAGCAACATTTGTACTTGTTGGTTATAGTGATAGCCGTTAACATTGAACACGCTTTTCAACTTAGAACAGTCCATTAAAAGATGCAGGGAAACATTATTTCACTTAAATTGAAACTTATCAAGGCAACATCAATTCATTCTTATTCAGAAAATGGGGCTGTAAACAAAACCATGTAAAAGTATTTGCTTTGATAAATGAAACAGATATTAATAAAAGATGAAAATTTACATCATGCCGTAGAAATACTAGTTTTAACTTAAATTTGTAAATACATTCTTTTGTTTATATCCGTTGAACATAGTTTCAGCTTATTAACAAATTGGGTAAAATTCAAAGATGTAAGTGTGTAAAAAATTTCATCACTGTATGTCCTTGAACTAATTTCAGTTACTCAAGTATGCATGAGTAGGTCATCTCGTTTTTTGAAAATCCTCGAGATCTGGCGATTTCACTTCCTTCAAATTTTTAGAAAGTAATGAGAATGCAGTTTTAGAAAATATAGCTGACCTAAGTCTCTCAAGTGTGTGTGTTTTGTTTTTTGTTGTTGTTTTTTGTTTTTTTTGGCGGAAAATAAAAAGTATATCACAACACTGAACCTCTTCTGCTGTTGAAGTTTATATCGTAGAATGAACTGAACAAAATACGAAATTGTTTTGTGTGCTTCAACGTTTAACAAGGGAAATTATGAATAATATTAATGTAGTTCCGTTGTGTCTTATCGTAATTATTGCTAGTGTTTTCTTAGTAAATTGTGATGGGCAATGCAACTGTGCTGATTTAGCATTTACAAGGCAACTTCTTCAACAGGAAATGTTTGAAAGAAAACTTGAGATGAGTAAATTACGTTCGGAACTGCAGACAAAAGTAAATGGAGCTGAGTTGATTGAAACGGATTCAGTCAAAGGTAAAGTTCAATTCGTATATGTTTAATTTATCATTTATAAATTTATTATTTTGTTAAAGTATACATTAATGTTGATAAATTTAAGAGATGCAGATCTGTTCTACATCAAAGAAATGATATGCATCTGGCCAAACTTGTATGCATCGTCGGTGATATACAGGTATATGGGATTATATAGAAGCCAATGTTTTGGAAGCATACATGTACTTATTAGAAATTAGAATTATATTCTTTCATGGAATGATAATATGTTACTCGCGGTTTGCTTTTTCTTTTTATAATATCTGCCCCGCAAATGCGTAAATGAGCTAATACGTGTTGATGGATATGTTGTTGTTTTGTCCGATTACAGTATCGAAATGCAAATGTATCAGTAAATTTATAACACATTTGTATCCAACGTTAAAAGTAGTTCATACTACTCATGCTTTCTTGTAAATTATCTAAAACTGAGAGACTCAGTACAAGTTTGTTATACAAAAAAAAAACGAAAATGCTCTCTTATATACATTTAGATACAAATATCCACACACGATTAGAAAGACTTGAAGAGCAATTTGCTGAATTTATAAATGCAAGCAACGTTGAGCAAAAAGCTGAAACAGATGATGATGATAATAAGACAAAGCTAACCACTCAAAAGACTAGGGATTTTCAATCAAGAGTACGAAAGGTTATAAAACACGAGGAAGCTGAAAGACTAAAATTCATTGCAAGTGTTCAAAATGAAACTGAAAATGTGAATCGCAGTATTTCGCTTTTCATGAAAACAACTGATGCGTTTATTAAAGACCAAGTAAGTAAATGGTCTGTTTACTACAACCAATTTGGAAAGAATTACTCGCAGGAGTTTTCAGAATTTACAAGATCGGTTGAGAATAAGTTACAAAATCAAGCTACAGCAACAGAAGCAAGTGTTAATTACATCAATGACACCGTAGATGAGCTTAAACAAAATTTGTCAAGGAGATTGGATAGCATTATGGTCAATGTAAACGATAACATTAATGATAAAATCCTGAAAACCGAATCCATCCTTCAAGAAATGCAAGCAAATGTTACTGATGTAAGAAAAAGTGTAGAGAACGAATCGGTTGCCATAAGTTCCCTTGAAGCTAATGTTGGTGATGTAGAGAAAGTTGTTGAACATTTGAAAAATACAGTATCTGAGCTAAAAGAGCAACTGAAAGAACATATTAAAACTTCGGACAGGCGATTTAGCATAGTAGGCAAAGAAAGTAAGTCATGCATATGCTACAGTATGCTCAAATTTGTATTAGAAAATATTGATACTTGCTGCGCAATGTCTTTGTAAATGACATCACATAAAGTAGATGCATGTATGTTATGTTTAAAATTCTAGACAATATAGATGGTCACAATCTGAATAGTATAGTGTTATCAAAAACGCTGGTAGTTATTATTTTTTAAGACCAACTTTACTTCACCTGTTATAGGGAACGCAGCTTCCTATACATGGGTTTATTCATATTCAGTAACAATTTCATATATTTCAATAATTTATTTGAGTTGATAAAAATATTTTGCTCTACGATATTAATTTAAAAAATAGATCAAGTGCCATGAATACTTTTACTCATTTTATTACATTCCGAGTTTTCAGTTGGGACGTGCCATAGGATAGGATGGATACTACATGGAAAACAATGCTATAGAATTGGGACAGGCCTTACTACTTGGTTTAAAGCCAAAGTAAGTAAACTTCTCGTATTGTTCAAAGAAGAATATATTTACTTATAGCGGTTCAAATAGCTTGTACCTTTGACAAAAAAATCTAAGTTTACTAAAACAAATATTTGTATGTTTAATTTTAATGTGCTTCTTATGTCCGCGGCACCTTTTTTAAATGTGATAATATTTGTAATAAATATAAAAATTATAATTCTTGTCAATTTAGGCGCAACTTGTGATTCAAGCATAATAATCTTGACTTCACGTCTATAAGAAGAAACATTTTAAAAGAAAAATGTATCGATTGTATTATATACTTAAGCAAAGTCTCAATACCAAATTTGTTTGTTTGTTTTTGTTGTTGTTTCTGACGATAGATTCGGTTATATTTATAGAAAGAATGCGAGATATCTGGTGGCGATCTGTTGAACATAAAAGTAAAGAGGAGAATGATTTCATTGTAAATCATTTCAAGAAAATTATGCAAAGTTTGTATATAAAGATTTCATTCGTGCAGATGTAGGTCTTTTGAAAAATATCATTTTTTACATAAAGAAAACTATTTCTACTATCCGGGAATGGTGTTCAAATGTTTTAATTCTAGAAAAGAATTATTTTGAGTGTTTTACTCAAATGTCGGCGTGTTTCAATACACTTGATTACCTCCCCTTGAAGTAGGCCAATGGCATAATTGAAATAATCTGAATAACAAGAACATGACTTGACATATGATTTTACATTCTTTTGGTACATATCTCTAATTATTCTTAACATTTCACCTTGGATACCTATTTTATACATTTTGAGCCTCAATGGGTTTCTGTAAATACTATCAAAACATTTCATCATATCAACAAAAACTACTATAGACGTTTATTTTGATTTAAATAACAATAGAATAGAATAATATCAATTTTGAACGCCATTTTTGAAAACCAAATTGAGCATCAGATATAATACTGTTACTTTCACAAAATGTTTCAATTCTATTATTAAGCACACCCAGAACTGCCTTGAAAAAAATGAAACAAGCTAATTTCCGATGATAATATGAATAGCTGAAGCTACTGAATGCAAAAGAGAAATATCTGAGAGGGTAGTCCAAAAATAAATAATTATTATGAGTTTTGGCTCCGCCCACATTCATATCTATTTTTCATATTCGTTTTTCACAAATACAATGTATGATACATGTATATATTTGACTGATAAAGCACCATATTTCATGGGTAAAAATAAATAATGTGCACTATTACCACATTAAATATCTTATATAGACATGTCTATCTTTCAATATGGACACAATCATTCATTAAGGAAAAATTATTTTTTTAAATTAATTTTCACTATTTGTATATAAAATGGTACTTAACTTTTCCACTTTGTAGCTCTTTTACTTCCCTGTCATGTCTACATAAATTTTTCTATGCGGCAACATTTTGATGAAATTATGGATAACATTGTGCCACAAATTTCTGCATTTTTTAACCCAAATATTGTCTAAACTTGTCTATGATTGTTCGGATGATTTCCAGATCAATTACCAGGTACGTAACACTTTTTCAAAGCAGTCATACTCAAAGGAGCGATATAGGGTCATCATGGTTCTTCTTATTTGTTGCAAGAATAAAAATACAATTTGTGCTTTGCTTTCATTTCCAGGACCTTTCTGGATTGGAATACATGACACTCAAGAGGAAAACAACTGGCAGTGGGGCTCATCCAACTTGAATAAAAGACCTGGTGATTTCTTTAACTGGGCACCTAATGAGCCAAGCAATGCTTACAACAACGAGGATTGTGGCACTATACATGTTAACGGCCAATGGAATGACCGTACTTGTTCGGATTTATTACCTTTTATCTGTGAAGCAGATCCACAAATTGATTGACATGGTTCACATATATTCGCTGCTTTGACATTTTTATCAACATTTAAACAACATATTGTACATTATAGTTATTCAGATTGATATTATTTGTAGATGATAAACATTAGATTAAATAAATGCTTCGTTATTGCTGCCTTCCTCTGAACCTAAAGTATTCCTCGCTGAGTTGTTTGACAGTTGACATACACCCCCTCCTTTCCCCCTCCCCCCGCCACAGACTATCAAGTGCAACAGTACTCGTCAAAATTCGAGTTTTTTTTATGATTTATCAATATTTTCAGTGAAAATATTACACATTTGCGCCTTTGGTAACGGGATAGGCACGTTGAGATAAATAGTTTCCAATTTTCAAGTAAATACTTTTTGAGGTAAATGTATTTTTGACATTTTCTTTTCAAAATTAATTTGTTGCCTTTTATTTAAATATTTTTATTGAATTGAAAAATGAATGTAAATATATTTGTTTAAATTAAACAGAATTCTTACATTTCATATTTTTGCAAAAAGAATGTTTAACCTTTTGTATGCGTGACAACGTCTTATATTTATACTGCCAAAAATCTATTACCAATATTCTACTAAAATGATAACGGACATGATTTTGATTCAGTTTTGGAGACGGAACACATGGGGTAATTATGCATGAAACTAAAAGACGAAAGTGTGTGTTTGTTTTTTGTGTGTGTGTGTACCCTACTCATGACATATGGTAAACAAGTTTACACGCAGTACAAATGAACTGTTATGCCAGACGTACAATAATTTTGCCTAATATTTGATTAAGGACATATTATGAAGTATTTATATCATGTATATATAATGCATTATTTACAGTTTAACTAAAAGGAATAATTTTTCAACGTCCTGTGTGTCCAGTGGTTGTTTTTCGCTTTTTGGTTTTGGATACTAAATTACACTTGTTTTGTCTTTGAAAAAGGAGTTTTATATACATTTGTAGAATCAAATGCATTAAAGATGATACTAATAATAATAATAATAATAATAATAATAATAATAATAATATAATAATAATAATAATAATAATAATAATAATAATAATGTTATGATAATAATAACAATAATAATACTAATTGGTGCCTTACCGATGATCTTTCAAACCACTTGCCCCTCACCGCTGTGGGTTCGCATCCCGAGAGGGACTTTGGATTTATTCTTGTGAGGAAATTATCCAGCTAGCTGACGGAACGTCGGTGGTTCTTCTCAGGTGCCCGTTCGTACTTGAAAATATGCACGGAAGGGCACCTGAGATCTTTCTCCACCAGTAAAGCTGGAACGTCGCTAGACGACCTATATACTGGGTCGGTGACTCAATCAAACAAACAAACCTATGATACTTTGTGGCGGGGTACAATTGGTGTCTGTGTTTAATGAATGTCGCTCTCCTTTATTGGTCTGCCCTTGAATAATTTGGTCTTAAAATAACCTGATATTTTAATATGTCTAACTTTGCATTGAGACAATATAGTCAAAAGAGCATAAAAGATGCCCCTCATAGAAAACAAAATAAATAAAAGAATATTATTTCTATGCAAAGTTCTGTGTTTTTCACTAGCATATGTATATGCTTCTTGATTAGCCATTGCTTTAATTAAGTAACTACATTTTGCATTTCTACGATGACACATAGTTACACTACTTAATTTATCTCGTGACCACAAGGTTATATCTCATGACCACGACATAATTATCACGTTCCCACGATAAAAATGTACACATGTCCCCTCTGTCCCACCGTACATCTTACCGTATACGTTGCGTCAATTGTATACATCCTATATATATGAGACTTACAACATATAAAACAGAAGACAAACGCAAAAAATATAAGGTACAGATACTGAAAAAAAATCTACTTTTCTCAAAATCGGATATACGATCGGTATAACAAACAACATTATAATAGCTTATTTTCATTTGAAGTGTGACTTCTATGCCCTGTACGACAATTGGAGATATGTATGTCGAATTCTCTCATGTTTTGTTAACTCGTTTTTTGTATGTTTTGTACGGTGTCCTCGGTCGTCCACAAAATATCGTTAGTAACATGCGATAATTATCGCCTCTAAAGGTCGAAATTAAGTACTTAATTTCATATGTCTTAAATTTCGCTAGTCTCTCTGCAATTTATACTAGCGGAACTAGACCTCGCGTCGATAATAAATGCGTGAGGAATACACAACATACGAAAATCAAGACAATTTTAACATACGAAAACCAAGACAATATTTATCGAGGCGAAATTGTTAAATTTCGGTAAAAGTGTCCAAGGTATACAGAAAAGTTGAGAGACCAGAGAAATTTTAGACAAGCGACATTTAATACTACAATTTGCCCTTTAGAGGCGGTAATTATCGCGTGTTTATCAGCAAAATTGTGTGGACGAAATAGGACACAGTAGTTTTGAGCGAAAAAAAACTTAGAAATTTCAAGTGCATACATGCTTATGCAACGTGAAAAAATATCCCAAAATACGAGTATATCATACGGCTACTTTCTAGCGTAGTTAATTATAATATTTATATATTTATATTATCATTAATATACATATATAATATCCGTTGATAAAAGCATGACGTTGAATTTAATAGACTTACATGATTTAAATGTACCCATCTGATACAGGTTTTAATTACTTGTACCAATTTGTTTATTTGCAAACATTAAATACAGATATGCAAACGGCATTGTAATAGAAGCAATACTCAGTGCTAGATTGTTCAGAAAATTATTTCGACGTCGAATTGAAAAATATATATATCATTGTTTTTAATGAGAATACTTGATTTTTTTAATTGATATTCGAATTTACCAGGAGTTGTTTATAGTGATACTGTTAGATTTATGTAGCACTAGATTAACTTGAACTACACCGAGACAGACGAAATGACAAAGATCAATGTGGAAGATATAAATGTTGACCATATTTGGAGAACATTGGATCCGTGGGGAAAATACCAGTGGAAACAACTATCGTCATATCTCTTCATTTGTGTTTCCTAGGTGATTCATCAGCTAAGTATCGTTTTTATAGGTAAGCCACGAGTGTGCTTCTTTTTCGGTCGTAAGCTGTTTGTTTCCTATTTGACTTCCAGTAATTTCGCGGGATATTTACCGTCCTCATACCGGTACATGTCGGACAAATTTATCGTATGTTTTGATGCCAACACTATAAAGTGTTGAGAATTGAGTACCGCTCAAGCCGGTGCTAGGGTGCGTGAGGGACGTTGCACTTATTCATTATCCCTCATGTACAGACTCAATCAAACCGAGTCTGCAATTTTTATGTTATTTTGTTGTGATTAATGCTTCCGAGGGATCACTTTGTTTCCAGAATTTTGTATTTCACAACAGCAGGTGTCAAGTGCCGTGTGGCAGCCGTAAAAAGTTGCCCCGTACTTCACTTCAGTGTTTATATTTTCTGTCCTTCAGGATCATTGATGCAAACACTATAAAGTGTTGAGAAATGAGTACCGCTCAAGCCGGTGCTAGGGGGCGTGAGGGATGTTGCACTTATTCATTATCCCTCATGTACAGACTCAATCAAACCGAGTTTGCAATTCTTATGTTAATTTGTTGTGATTAATGCTTCCGAGGGATCACTTTGTTTCCAGAATTTTATCACTTGCAAGCAATAAAAATATTGTTGTAGTATAAGAACATTCGGACAGTAGTCGGTATTGTTAAAACAGGTGTACCACGGCCGAGTATATTATTTTAAGTATTAAAGATACTTTTTGTTTAAAGAAAAAAAGGAATAAAAACTAACATAGTGGCAAATGCCCGTAGCTCTATTTAAACAATAAGTAAACTGTCCCTTTCCCTTTTGAAATAGCGGTAAATGTCTGTATCTCTTTTGAATCAGTAACAAATGCTCGTATCCCTTTTCAAACTTTGATAAATGCATTCATTCTTCAATTACGTTTATATTGGTAAAAAATGAAAGTGAATTTAATTTCGTTCCCGGTTCATATTCATAAATGTTCTACTTTTAAACATACAAACCTTGCCATTTGCATGCATATTCGACCTAAAAATATGAAAAACTGTCCATGTACATAATTTTTCTACCTTTAAACATGCAAAATTTGCCATAATTATGCATGCATGTTCGAATTGAAATTTGCAAAACTGCCCATATACATAAATGTTCGACATTCAAACATGCAAATGTTCGGCCTTAGAATATGAAAAACCGTCCATATACATAAATGTTCGGCCTTAAAACATGAAAAGCTAAAAACAGAAATTTTCTACCTTTAAACATGCATACCTTTATATTTGCATCCATGTTCGACCTTGAAATATGCAAACCTGTCCAAACGTCCACCAAATAAATAACGTTAGACCGGATTACATGAGTATTGTCTTCAAGTTAGTATTTGTAAGCCGTAAAAATCGTCCATAATTAAGAGATATCCGGAATAGAGGGATAAATTATATAGCAAGAAAGTGAACAAGACCATATGTCCGGTCTAAAGAGGGTGGGTGGTCAGGATAACAGGTTACCGGTTAAGATAATTCAACAGTGTATGTATATTCGGGCCTGAGAAGATATACTTATATAATTAACTCCAAAACATCCTATTCTGACTTAAAGCAATGTATTCCATTATCGCAGAAATTTTAGAGCCTGGCGTATTCATACATTAATTGTCAGAGAAAAAAGAATACGAAAAACATGTATAATATAATATCTGAATCTTAGTAACTTTTTAAGCTTTGACCTTGACACCTGATTTTAAGATTTATGTGCACACTTAAAATCATACTACATATCATGGCTTATTTTACCTAAGAGATAAAAGATATGTCAAGTCAAATGTCAGTGAACTGTTTATTATAAATAAATGAACAAAATTTACCATGCTTATCATGTCCAGTCTTCCTATGTGATATTTTCTATGATACGTTAGCACCTTAGAAGCAAAAATTTGGCTTCAGTGTTGGTTGTTATTTTAGGTGTTAAAAATTGAGTATCGCTCGTGAGAACGGTGTCAGGGGGGCATGAGGGATGTTGCAATTTTTAATAATCCCTCAAGCACAGTCTC